TACCACCAAACATTCTGTTACTACCTAGTTTACCAGCAACTCACAGTGGTGCAGTTGCCTTAAAAGATATCCAAGGTTCAGTCTCCAGTACTGCCGAGAGAGAGAGAGAGAGAGAGAGAGAGAGAGAGAGAGAGAGAGAGAGAGAGAGGTGTCCTAGGCATTACAAAGTTTCTGCGCCCTCACCTTCAAAGAAGAAACTGTTAGGGTCACCAGCCCAAGTCACTGCCATCTACTTTTAGATAGGGACTGTGTTTGCTTGTTGTAATGTATTTAGTACAGGGTCTCACTGCATAAATCGGACTCCTAGTGACCCTCCTGTTTTCAGCCTTCCAAGTGCTGGGATTACAGGTGTGTTCCCCCATGCCCAGTCTCAGTCACTGTCTCAGCACACCCTGGGGGTGGGGCCAGCACGGCATGTGGGCGAATCAAACCCTGGTCCCTGCGCCTGCCTAGGTGGGTGCTTTAGTCTGCTGAGCTGTCTGGCCAGTCCTAGATAGGGACTATGGAGTAAATCACATTTCCAGAACCTATCCTTGGACAGAAGTATTCAGCTAAGCAAAAGTAACATTACTATATTCACCATAATATTTGGAGATTTTCAGGCAGGTATGTATGTCTGTCTTGTGGCCTATAGATTAGTCACACCTGTGTTATAATAGAAAAGTAGAGCCAAGCATTGTGGTGCATACCTGTAATCCCAGCACTCAAGAGGCTGGGACAGGAGGATTGCTGCAAGTTCAAGGCCAGCCTGGGCTACATAGTAAGTTCAAGACCATCCTGAACTTCATAGTGATACCCTGCTCCCCAAAAGTTTAGAAATAAAGGAAACTTTGTTATTTATATACATCACTTGTACATTTTATATTATATAAATACCAAGATAACGCCTCTTCACTCATTGTGTTCCAGGTGTATCCTTCACAAGTCTGCAAGTAAACTTCTGAATAAATGTAAAACACAACATTTGAACAGGCTGGGTAGTATATGTAGGAAGCCGGATTTTGTGTTATATGTAGTTAGATTTTATTTAAAGGATTTAGTCTGACATACGTGATTTCTTTTTTTTTTTTTTTTTGGCAGACCTGGGGATTGAACTCAGACCCTTGTGCTTGCCAAGGAAGCACTTATTCCACTGAGCCATATCCCTGGCCCCTTACATGATTTCTAATACTGTGTAATTTTATGAAATTTTTCAGAACTTTATTTGCAATAGGAAATAAAAAATTATAGAAGTCTTTCGAAGTTGTGACAGTGGTGGCTGTTTCTTGGATAGGAGCTCTTGGGCATTTTGTTGGCCCAATTTATAGTAGATACAAGTCCAGCAAATAGTGTGAGTTCCTATCAGGTGCCATATTCCTACTTTCAGCCTCAGTGGAACCTGGGTAGGCTGCAAGGACAGTGGAGGGCAGAGAAGTTGTGGAGGGGGTTGCCACTACAAGGGGCTATAAGAGATCCAGAAGCTTGGCCAATAGGCTAGGCTGGCTGCAGAATGTTAGCAGGTGGTGCTAGATAGAGGTCAGACTTCACAGGGCAGAAAGGAACTGCAAGAAGTGTCAGAGCATTGTTCATGGTGGGCTTAATCAGAAGAGGGAACAAGAATTCTCCATTGGATTATTTTGGTATATTTTGATTGAGTTAATAAATTCCTGCGGTTCAAGAGTGCTTCAGTGAGGACCTTTTATTAATAGAGAAGAGTCATAATCCTTTTTATTACCCGTCTAGAAACATTATATACTGAGCTGGATGATTGTTTAAGCTCAGTTATATGTGGAAATTGGAAAGGGAAGACATGCAGATAGACTGAAAGCAGTTGTCTTTTGGTGTGTTCTATTTTATTTGTTTTTTGAGACAGGGTCTCACTGTGTAGTTCAGGGTAGCCTTGAACTCACCACAACCCACTTGCCTCAGCCTCCTGAGTGCTGGGATTACAGGCGTGTGCCACTATATCTGGCTCTGAATTTTTTTTTTTTTTTAAAGATATTTAGAATCTAGGATCACCAGTCCACACCTGAAATCCCATCTAGGCTGAGGTAGGACACAAATTTGAGACCAGCCTGGAAAACTTACTGAGATCCTGTCTCGAAAAGGATTGAGGATGTAGCTTAGTATTCCCTGGATTCAACTTGAGTACTGCAAAAAAATAAGAAAGATGTATTCTTATTAAAATATTTTATCTGGCAGCCAGATTTTCCTACTTTTCATCACAGAAAAGGCCAGTAGATCTGCTGATCAGTATGTTTCTGAACTGAATTGGTGTGAAAGTGTGTTGTTACTGATCTCTTTGCTAGAATAAAATATGTCACACCCACAGGTTATAGGAGGAAGAGTTTATCTCATTTCACTGTCTGTAGATGTCTCAGTCTATAGTTGTCTGGTTCCATGGCAGGTCAGCATAGCAAAAGGGTATCACAGAGAATTCATGGTGTGGCAGGCAGAAGGCCCCAAAACAACATACAGCAGCAGCAAGCCTGCCTGCTGTCTTTATATATTCCACCCAGGTTACAACCTATTGGTTGGTGCTGCCCATCCTCAGGATGGGGCTCTCCATTATCCACCACCTTAATCCTAGTATCTTTAATCCACATTCACATACCCTAAACCCTAACCCTTCAAAACTCCATACCTATGGCCACATGACACTTTGGAAGGCCATCTAGACCAAACCATTACAAGGTGGATCCAACCAATCGACCTTATCACAGGAGTCTTTTTTTTTTTTTTTCTTTCCTCCAGTACCATGGATTGAACTCGGGATCCTGTGCTTGCCAGGCAGGCGCTTGTCCTACTGAGCTGTCTCTCTGGCTTCACAGGAGTCTTTCTTGCTCGGCTTCCTTCAGCCTGGCCCCAGCCAAGGCTCATATCCCTCTTTGTAGCTTTCTGCAGCCCTTCCGCTGCCTCTCTGGCTGTCCACGTGCTGCTGTTCTCCAGAACTCTTCGGTCTCTAGTGTTACAGGCACATACTCCCCAAGATAAGCGTTAGATAAGAACCCTAAGTAGATGAGAACCCCCACGAGCTCGTCTTTTTGGGACCTGTGCTGCTCCTTAGTCCAGTTTTGTGCACCCCAAGGCCCAGCTTGAGGACTTCCACAGTAATAGCAGGCAGTCCTCTGGGTTTGGCCCAGGCTTTAACCCTGGTGAGGCCAGCGCAGGTATCTCTCGGAGTGAGCCTGGGACAGCTGCAGGTGTTTGGCCACAGCCCTCCGGCACTTGGGACCATGCCCGGGAAAGTGCTGGGCTGATGGCGGGAAACAGTCATCCCCGGATGCTGGCAAGATGTGCGACTCTCGCAGACCCCTGAGGACCAAACCAGCGAGGGTAAGGGGGCGTGACGGCCGTCTATCGGGTTGCTCCCAGTGGAGCTTCATCTATGTAAGTGAAAAATACAGCCAACGTGAATAAAGAAAAAGATGAAAAAATAGGAATGTGCATACAAACTCTTCTGTAACCTGTACGCAAAAGAAACACGTAAATTGTCCTCAGCGCCCTCGGAGTCGCTGAGAGACTTTAGACTCGGCTGCCTCGCGCTGCGCTTGCGCACGTTCACTTCCCGCGAGGGGAGGGAGGGGGCGGGGCAGAAGCTCGGCTATCGCGAGGTTTCGTAACGAGCGGCGGATTCGGGATGCGGTCCGAGGAGACCTCCGGGGGCCTGGGCGCGACTGTTATAGCTCGGAGTCCGGGCGGGCAGGAGAAGCCCTCGGCCACGCAGTATCAGTTCCGCCGGAAATCTCCGCGGCGAGAACCTCAGGCACCGCCAGCTTTTTCTCCGAGCTCTGAGAGTAGGACCATCAAACCTCGCGAGGAGAAGACGGCGCTGAGCAAGGTGGGTGCGGGGCCCGGGAGGGGAGGGGGCTGCACAGGCCAGCCTCGCGGAAAAGGGGCGGGGCGCCGGGGGCGGGGCCTGCGCCCAGGCAGACGTGCGATGGTGACCATGCTGCCCCGCTGCAGGTGGTCCTGCGGCGGCTGCCCCCCGGCCTCACAAAGGAGCAGCTGGAGGAGCAGCTGCGCCCGCTGCCGGCGCACGACTACTTCGAGGTCGCCGGCGCGGATCTCAGGTGAGGGCTGCGCGGGCCGGGGGGCCGGGGGGCCGGGGCCGGAGCTGGGGGATCGGAGGGTCGGGGGGCCGGAGTTGGGGGATCGGAGGGTCGGGGGGCCAGGGAGCCGCGCCGCCCGGGGCCCGGGGGGGGCGGGGCGGGAAGCGGTCACGACCGCGTCCCGAGTCTGGCCCTGCCTGGTGCAGAGGTGTCCTGAGTCTCCTGACGCACACGCCTTGGCGTTTTCGCCAGGGAGGGCCAAGAGACTGCCTCCCTGTGTCCCGCCGCTCCAAGTCCCACAAAACGGACCAGCAGACGGCGACAGGGTGGGTCCAGCCAGAACTCAGGGTTTTAAACGATATTTATTTTTTAATATCCATTTATGAATTTTCATTTGTAATAGCCATAGAAACTCTACCTTGTAATAACTGCAAAGAAAAACATTCTGGCTATAAAACATGGATATGGTTAGTAATACAGATGGCTTTTGAATGGCTGAAGGTTAGAGACTGCCAGGACAGAGGTGGTCTGGGGCATACCAGGGTGGCCCCCAGGCTGCCTTTCAATGACTGCGCCTGCTGCTCGCCCGAGTCCTGCCCTCGCACCTGGGTGAGCTGGCCCGTCTTCCTGTAGGCTTTAGGCGGGGTGCCACAGCAATACAGAAGTCCCAAGGGAACATCATTTGCCATGTCTGGTACTAGAGTGACCATTGTCTCCGTTACTTTTCTCTTGTTCCTGGGACAAAATACCTGACACCCAAAATTAAGGAAGGAATGGTTTTTTTACCTTACAGTTACTGGAGGTTTCAGTCCATACTCGGCTGGCTCCAAGGCAGAGTGACACGTGTAGGAGGGCAGCAGTTCATGGCAGTGGAAGACAGCAAAAAGCAAAAGCGAGGAGCAGTGTCTGCAGCAGCTAGCAAGCCTCACTCCCTTCCTTATATTGTGTTCAGGCTGTGTAGCACTCACACTCATAATCCTCGCAATGGATCACGAATTAATCACAAACTCTAGAAGCTGCCTTAATGACTGCTTGAAGCTTTGGGGGGACAACTAGACACAAACCATAACAACCAGGCTACTTCCAACCTTGAGGCTGAGTGGTGATTTTTCAAATAACTGCTTTTGTTTTCTGTTTCTAAGGAGCAGAACTGTAATGTTGTACAGTAGAGCTGACCTAAATTGTCTTTCTCAAATAATTAAAAGACCTTAATTGCTTGTGTATTCCCCCCCCCCCCCAACCAGGGATTGAACTCAGGCCCATGTGCTTGCTGGGCAAGCAGCCCCTAACCTACAAATATTGCTGTAATTGAGAGACGATTATTTCATGCGGTATAAAGGTTTTTTCTGAAGTAGTTTATTGTGTTCAGAAAAGAAGGGCAGGGCAAAAGTAAAGGAGTCTTACGTTTTTACCAACCCTTTTTATTATGTTTATTTCAGCCTTTATCCTCATCTCTACTCAAGAGCGTACATTAATTTTAGGAATCCTGATGACATCCTTCTGTTCAGAGATCGTTTTGATGGATATATCTTCCTGGGCAGTAAAGGTTGGCTTGTTGATTTTTAAATTGTTTGATCACTGTTTATACTGTGTTAATGAAATTTAGCCAGAATGTTTGTGAATTTTATTAAGTTTTCAGACATCCGAAGATCACAAATTTTAGGTGTTCTTTATCACATGCTGTTGTTAAAAATTAGTGTTATAAACCAAAGAATTCTAGAAACACTTTGTAATAATCACATAGTTGTATAATTGCTGGGGTATGAAATTTTCACGAGTGCTGAAAACTTTACATTTTGTGTTCCAAGAATAATTTTACCCGTGACTGATAAAAATTGTCTAAACTATACTCTTAAGAGCCATGTCTTTTGTGTGAGAGTGCTCTTCGTCATTGTGTATTTCTTGATGATGCAGTGGGAGAGGTAGTTGAAATCCCCAACATCAGTCCTTATTTAAGCATTGGGCTCCCGTTTCCTTGTATTTTTTGGCATCTGCTTTTGACATTTTCTGATCCATAACCCTTTTACAGCAAGGTGTTTTCTGGCACCTACTCGCCAGCCTCTTGCTTCATTCCCCAATATTGATTACTGATCTTCTTGCTCTATCAAGGATTAATAATCTAGAAAAGGTTGTTAGAATAAGTAAGCTAAAGACCAAAACATAATTTCTATAACAGCAAGTTTACCACTTGAACTAGACATTTGTGTTAATTGCTCAGTACTATATTAACAAAGCTACCATCATTTTCTTTTTGAAGCGGGCAGTTCAGTAACGATAAGTATATTCACCTTGTGGTGATGACCTTAAGGCTCATCCATGTTGTAGCATTTGCCGAATTTCATTTTTAAGGCATAGTTCCTCATATGGATACACTCATTTTGCTTGTCCATTCATCTGTCAGTGAACAGTCGGCTTTCTTCCACCTCTTAGCTTTTGTGAATACTGCCTCTGTAAATAAGGGTGTACAAATGTCTTGGAGACTTTACTGTTGATTTGGATTTATACTGAGGATTGGTGGAACATATGGTAATTGCATTTTTAATTTTTTGAGAAACTGTCATACTATTTTCCATGCCAGTTTGACCATTTTGCACACGTTATATTCTTACCTGTAGTGCACAGGTCATCCAGCTGCTCCACATTCCCACTGACACTTTATTATTTGTTTTTTTGTTTCTGTTTTGCAGTATCTAGTCTCGTGAGTTTGGCAATACCTCACTGGTTTAAATTTGCCTTTTTCAAGTGATTATTGGTTTTGACCCCCTATTTATGTTCTTATTGGATGTTTGTGGATCACCTTTGGAGAAATACCTATTCAAATTCTCTGTCCCATTTGTTAATTGGATTTATTGAACTGTATATTGTATGTATATTCTAGTGACCTCCTAGCAAAGATGGAATTTGCAAATATTTCATTCTGAAGGTTGCTTCTGAAGGCTTTTGGTTGTGTTCTTTGATGAACGGAAGTTCTTCATTTCAGTGTCCAGTTTACGTGCTTTTATTGTGGTGGACTGTACTTCTGGTGTCGTAACTACTTCCAAATCCAATATTAGAGAGCTTTTTCTGTTTTGTTTTGTTTTTTAAATATTTTATAGTTTTAGGCATCATGTTTATGTTTAATCCACTTTAAATTAATGTTTGTGTATGGTGTTGGCCCAGTTTTATTCTTTTGCATATTGACATCCATTTTTCTCACCATCACTTGTTGAGGGGTCTGCCTTTTCCCTACTGAGTGATCTTGGTCCCCTTGTCAAAAATCATCTGGCATCCAGGCATGGTGCACATACCTATAATCCCAGTACTAAGAAGGCTAGGGCAGGAGGATCATTACGAATTTGAGGACAATCTGGCCCACATAGTGAGTCCAGGCCAGCCTAAACTACAGAGTGAGGCCCTGTCTCAAAACAAAAAACCAAAAATAAAGTCATCCGGCCATATATTGAAGGGTTTTTCTGGGACTGTTATTGTACCCCATTGTATGTCTATTATATTTCTTTTATTTATTTATTTATTGAATGCAGGGTCTCATTGTGCAGTTCAGACTAGTAGTACGCCTCCTGTCTCAGCCTCGCCAGTGCTGGGATTACAGGCATGAGTACTTCACTGTTTTGATTATTGTCGTTTTCTAGTAGGTTTTGAAGTCAGGGAATATATATTTCATACTCACCTTGTATGTACCAAGCATTGTAAGTGCAGCAGGGAGTTGGCATGATTCCTGCCAGTTCAGAGCCATTTTCTTCCTCATTCTTTTTAAATTTTTTTTTCTTTTTATTTATTTGTTGAAAACAGTTTCACTAAACAGTTCAGATTCATAGTGCTCCTCCTGTCTCAGCCTCCCCAGCACTGGGATTACAAGTGTGTGCCACCACACCTGGTTTTGGGGCCGGCACAGTGCACCCAGGGTTCCAGAGCTGGCAGGGAATGCAGTACCAGATATTGAACCCAGGTCCTTGCACTTGCCAGGCAGGTGCTTCTGAGCTATCTCCCCAGCCCTCTTCCTCATTCTTGACCTCACTCTGGATAGCACAGAAACTTCTTCCAAAAAATGAGGGTTACAAGTTAAAAAATGATAAGTTATTGACTTTGGTATATAAGTAGACATATCCTGTTTGCCCCAATTTAATAACAAAATCAAGTATGAATTTTTTGATTTTGTTTTCTTTTGGAGATTGGGTCTTGTTGTATAGTCCAGGCTGGCCTGGAACTCGTTTTGTTTTGTTTTGTTTTGTTTTGTTTTGTTTTGTTTTGTTTTGTTTTGTGGCCTGGAACTCTTTGACAATCCTGCTTCAGCCTCCCAATTGCTGTCATTAAAGATGTATGCCCACCATGCCCAACACAAAATTAATTCTAAGTGCTTTCTTTCTCCACCTTTTTGTTAAAGCAAATCTTGAGCTGGCCAAATAGCTCAGCAGATTAAAGTGCCTGCAAGCAGGTACAAGGGCCAGGGATGTGATCCCTGGGTCTGCCGTGTCGGCCCCGCCCCTGGGATCCACTGAGACGGCAATTGATACTAGGCATGGTGGCGTACACCTTTAATTCCAGCTCTTGGGAGACTGTAAACAGGCAGATCGCTACGAGTTCAATCTAGTAGTGAGACCCTGAACACCCTGTAGACCCTTCCCTAAAAACATACCAGAAAAGAAGCCATCTTTCAGGGGATGTGGTATAAGTAAAGCCTCACCCACTTATATCTTCTGTCTGTCAAGCAGTTTCCTTGAGCCTGTATGACAGATTAGTAATCAGGTTAACATTTTAAAATAAAGAATATTTTTTTAAAGAAGGTATTCAGGTGATAGATTTTTTGGGAGAAAAATAGTCAAGTCAAGGTTACTGAAGTGTAAACCATGGATGATAAAAGCCACCTTTGAAAGTGAGTGGTTTGATGTTTTCAATATGTTTAGTCTGGTAACCACTACAAGAAGGTCATTTTATTTAATATATATGACTCCTCCTACCACTAGCTAGCTCATTTTTTAAGTCAGGAATTTGTCTGTGGCATCATCATGCGTCATCATGCAATAATTTAAATCATTATTTTCCAACATGAACATAGTGGAATTTCAGAGTAGTCTTTGGAATGTGTCTTGTAAAGGATTGGAGTATCCTGCAGTGGTAGAGTTTGCCCCATTCCAGAAGATAGTCAAGAAGAAGCTGAAGAAGAGAGACACTAAGACAGGGAGCATCGAAGATGGTGAGCCCTTTTTAAGTTGACTGCACTCATCCTGTATTAATCCTTTTTTTATAGTTGGGGAGTGTTTGGGTTTTTTTTTAATTTTGTCTTTTAAATTTATAGATCCAGAGTATAAGCAGTTTTTGGAAACTTACAGCATGGAAGAAGAGAGAACCAGTGCCAATCCTGAAACTCTTCTGATAGAGATAGAGGCAAAGACAAGAGAACTTGTTGGTCTGTTTTGCTCATTTCTTTTCTTCTCTTTATGGAAATACTTCTTATTTATAGAGTGTGTATTTATTTTTTCTTTTTCACAATTACAGTTACAGACTTGGCAGGAGTATTTCTCAGTTTTGACAGAGTAGGCGGACAGAAGTGGGGAGCCTTTATTGATACAGTGAGCCTGAGTCTTCTGC